GGAAATGGTTATTGATTTGTTTTTTACACACGTCTGAGTTCAGACTGTGTGCTCAACAAATCACAGTACAATAATCTTTATAAAAATAGAAGGGTTCATGATTTACTTCTGGGTGCAATACTACTAGGTCGCCCAGACCAAAGTCAGTGAATCTTCTTAGGGAGTTCACAACCGGAGCCTTCGGTTAATCAAAGCTTGACCCGCAAGGCAGTGGGGCAGTGTGTGAAAAGCGCTATCCATTGGGGGCCAGTGTCCAGTTCATCAGATCATACGTCCAAGGTACCCAATACACCTTGATGACAATCGAGCCGGTGACCACTATCACAACGAAGAAGCTGTGGGTGGGTGTGTGGTTCGTATGTCTCTTTTTGGTTGGTTTGGAATCAGGGCTTTTAACCATTTCCCCTAGGTGAACTCCCAGTGGTTCACTGACCTGTTTATGGCCTTGGATGTTATATCCCGGGATAATGGATTTTCGTTCTCTCATTTTGGTGACGAAACACAAGGAGGTAGTGAGCAGAGCTTCATGAGCAGAAGCTATTTAAGACGGTTGGTCATATGGTAGCATTTCGCGAGGTGCAAGGAAAGGATGACCATCCAAAACCCAAGACACCCACTCCGATCATACTGAAACTTTCGGAGGCGGAGGTGATTGTGAAAAGAAGAAGTTAAACCAAACCTTGGCTCTTGTACTACGTCTAGTTTGAAACCACATAGTTCACACCTGAAAGAGCCATGCAATCTAAGTTTGACGAAACTGAATTGAATGACTGATTGTTGCGCACAACAATATGGATGCTTACATTCACTTTTAGGACTCCTTTACTTTAGTAATTGCACCCGGATACATCTACACTTTATTATGTCACAATTCCTTATTTCATCCACCCATATAAAATATTAATGAATATTTCGCTTTCCCAGTTGTCGGTTCTTATGTTCTGCTTTCTTCCTGCCCCTTCCTATTTGTGTGTAATCACCCGTGTTTATTGTGGTGACTTAAGCAATTGAGTATGGTATGCTACCCTATGAATTGCGATCATTTTGAGTGTGATTAATTCTGGTATTTGTTGCCTTGAGCAGATCAGCGCATGGTCCAGAATGAAACCCTGAAACCCAATCTGAAAACCCGTTCTGTTCGCTTGAAATCAATATTTTCGATCAGTTTAAACCTGTTTTTTGTAAACAACATTGAACTTCCGTCTCATTTTACGTGTCTGTGAATCACGTCTGGGTCGACTTATCTAACAAGCGTATCCCAATGCGGATTGGTATTTAGACTTGAGGTGATCAATCTACATTCTATACCCTGGTACTTCCCATTTGAATGAATTACTACCACCCAACTTTGCTGGTAGGCAGCTGTGCTGTATTCCGGTTCAAAATCATATCTAACTTAGCGGGGCCTCATATGGTTCGCTGCCTCAAGTCCCGGAGCTAAGGTTGCCAGTTTTCATCACTGAATAACAGGTCTATGTCACTATGGGGTTCGCTCCGTCATCATCACAAAAATGTGTATAATAAAAAACAGGATTTTTGAGTACTTATTTTGATTTATCCCAGAAATTTGTGGTAATGTTTTTTTCATCTAGCTCCACTTTCAACTCAGCCAAACCTTTCACCGATCGGAATAGTAAATGAACATGTTTCTGGTAAGAGTCAAAGCATTAAGACAAATCAACCACTCATTTCTAGATTTTGTTGACAACGGTTAGGCTGATGCCACAGGGGCTCCCCTATCCCATTGTCGATTGTCCGGTCACTACGGCGTGCCACGTCTTGGTGATGCAGATTGATCAATCCAGTTGACCGCTCGTCAGGGATTTTGAGTTCAGGTGGGAGAAATGTGCGTAAATTTTCGGAGACCAATCTGCACTGAATTTTCCGGTGACAGTGTGGTCGCTCTGGTGACCTCCTGGGAGAGGGCATTGCATCACTCGGCCACCTTGTTTGTTTTTCCCTGTTTAATGCTTTGTCCGGTGAACTAACGTCACTGCTTTACTACACAAGATCGTCTTGTTTTCTATGCTATCCTCTCGATCATTTTTGTGATTCGTTGTTCGCATCCTACTCTCTTTTGTTCCGCTGAATATCACCCCCTAAAGTCCATGGTCTCTTGTCTGTTACACCCAACTTGTTGAATATCGTGTGCAATAGTGATCACGTCTTACTGACGTCTACATCGCCATTGATCTGTTCTTTGCCATGGTCCCATAAATCTACTTGGCTTTATAGTTTCTGTCCAGTCATGGTTTCACTGAGCAATGGTCTTCTGGATTTTCTTTATTCGGTCGTAAATTACCATTCGTTTATTGACCGCTTGCAGAATGTACATCCGACAATCTGTATGTAGCTTACGGTTTTCCTGAATCAGGTTATATCAGTTTGTTTGTATTCTTTTCATCCGGACCCAAATGCTGCCGTTGGCTGTTGATTTGCATGATCTGTAATTCCGATAATGAGGAACAGAGTAAGCAGACGATAGAGTGACGTTTTTAACGGTGACCCATAACCTTGTATGCATTTGTTTTGGATTTGCAGCATTTATCCCACAAGTTCTACTAAGGCTGTTTTTATTATCATTATTGTTTCCCGTTTGAGTTCAGACTTTGTATCCGATTAACCATCGTACAATAATTCATATAACAAAGAAATGGCCCCATAATTTGCTAATGGGCGGAATACTGCCAGGTTGCGCAGTCAAAATCGAACTTGCAAGGCAGCAGGGCGGTGTGCGAAAACCACCTGCTATTGATGGCCAGTGGCCAGTTAATCGGGTCATACGCCCTTTGGACGAGGTCAAACGTCCGAGGTGCCCAATACATCTCGATGCGCAATCGAGCCGTTGACCACTGCCACAACCGGGAAGGTGTGTGGTTCTTACGCCCCCTCTTGGTTGGTTGGGAATCAGCGTTTTTGGCCAACTCCCCTAGGTGAACTATTAGTGGTCCACCAACCCGGTTATAGCCCCGGATATCGGCGTTTTGTCCTCTCACTTTGGTGGGAATACACTTCCGCCACGAGGAGGCAGTGAGTAGGGCTCTCTCAGCAGAGACTCTTTGAGACACTTGGTCGTATGGGATTATTACGCGGGTTGCAAGGGACGGGTGACCAGCCGCAAACCTAGACACCCACCTCTGAAGTTGGCTCTTGCCTTGATGCTATAACCTCCGCCATTTGGTCCTTGTGACTATGGGGTTCGCCCCGTGTGCTGTTCATCACACTTAGGTGTGTAACACAAAATTTTGAGTGGGGTTTCCTCGGAGGAGGCTTTTTGAGATTAGGTCATATGGAAGCGTTTCGCCGGGTGCATGGGGCGGATGATTACTCATAACCTAAGACACCTATCCACGACCTTACTTAGGCTTTTGTAGGTTATCGTACGTTTCAAAACAAAGACAAATCAATCAGTTCTCAATCCGCAATCCACAATCGACTGGTATTTACCAAACGAACTTATACCTATTTACTTTAAAGAACAGATGACTACAATCACTTACTTTGTTGGTTTTCTCACTACGCGTTCTTTTTCGTATTTTTCTTTACATTAGTTGCCTATGATCTGGGTTAATTCCCTTCAAAAGGTCCTCGTGGATCGGGAATTCCTATGGTACCTTTTTTGAACTACACCGAAATGCTAATTGACATGATCAACGTTTTTGCATCACTTCCAGGTCTGTGATACTTACCCGACTCTCCTATGTGTACCCTCGACTGCGTCGAAAGGTATGCTAAAAGCCAGTGCCCGGTTTCGCAGTCGTGGTCGATTCCCGGTGCTTACTTACCTTCACTCAAATGGCAAAGTGAGTTCATCCGGTTCATTGTGTTATGTGAATGGTTTGCTCGGATGGTGCCGTTTCTTATTACACACCGGCATTTGAGACGATACACCCCGTATTCACCGGGAACTACCAGCCACTTGTGGTCTAAGTCTTCGAATTAAGAATAACAATNTGAAAGTAACCTTGTGTTGTGTCAAATCAATCATATTTATCGAGACAGTTATCTGAACGCTCATAAACAGATGCACACCAGCGGACGTTTCTTCCTCCAAATGACCTTCGTAAGTTGTTTTCCGCTCCAATGTAGCGCCTTTGTTTTTTCTTCACTTTGGCCAATCCAAATGCAATCTGCTGCATAGTCCCACATCATTCGGAGCTCTGGTTTTTTCGGTCAGTAAATTGTTCCTGTGAGTGCTTATTTGCGAGAGTGACCTCTCAGAGAGTGAAAGCAGACCAAGAGGTTTCCAGTCAGCACACTTTACGAAATGAGGCTTTGTCTGGCCTCTATGTATTTACCTTTCAAGCCTGAATGGATCTGCGGCTGTTTGAGTTCATTCTGCCTAGAGGCACGCAAACCATCGTACTACGTCAAGGGGGTACTCTTTAGTCGAAGATCAAGTGATGAAACAATGCAGGAGTGCTGCGTCCTAGTGACACAAAGAGCCGTGGTATGTGTCTATCAAACGCTGTCGCACGAAAGACGGTCGAATGAAGAATCAACATAAAATACTGTGGATGCAGCTTGTGGTGACGATAATCAGCAGCAACTAACGGGAACCGCTAGCTCAAACAGTATGTTGTTTCCCCGGGCGAAAATCCATTTACCGTCTATATAACCTAGTTAGACTTCTTAATACTGGTTCTTTCATGCTGTTTCTATACAAGCGTGACTGTTAAAACGGGAATTGGAGCAGCGGTTGTCTGAGCTGACGGAGCTCTTCATCATTTAAGGGGTGGTCTGTACTAGTAATCATTTTTTGTGTGGATTAGAGGTGCTATTTTTCCACGCGGTACTTATGGCTATGGGGAGTTCTTTCGTTTCGCGTTATACAGCCTGGCGATTCGTCATAGTTGTTTAACGGTGACTGAGAAGTGAGTTTTAGGTTTTGTTTGGCCATCCACTTTATGTTTATATTTATTTTATCTTTATTCATCTTCGTTTCCTTTGGATACAGTCGATTTTTGAATTCTGAACATTATCCTCATTTCTGCATCCCCTTTTTTCAGTCTGCACTTTGCCGATCCAGCCAACCTCTGGCTGGTTTTTCCTCAAAATCTATGGAGGATCAGTTTCTGCTAGAAGCAATCCGTCAGGCCAATCCGTCTTGTACCGTGTTGTACGTGGTGGACACGCGACCCGCTCTGAATGCTTTGACAAACAAGGCCCAGGGCAAAGGGTATGAAGATACCACTGTGTATCGGAATATTGCCATTCAGTTTTTTGACATTGAGAATATCCATGTTGTGCGTAACTCACAGGAAAAACTGCTAAAAGGTGAGTAAGAATTATTTTCAAAAATATTTGCATAGTTCCACATTCGTGATATGCCTCAAACAGTGCTGGTGTTCCTTGTTCTCTGTATGCATTAGGGTTCACTTACAAAAATTTGGTTACTGTTCCACATGGTTCAGTACCAGTATATGTCGAATGCAGCGCCATTGATATCACATCATGGTGCCCGTGAAAGAAAACACATGAGCAATTGTTCTATGCGGGTAAACATTTCTACTTGAGAGTACAAAACTGCACCTCATGCACTTTACAAGGTTTAGGTCTAATCTCACAAAGCTTGCTTTTGAACTGCGTGTTTCTCCATTGGGACCGACGGTTGATCTGTCCAGTTTTATTGGATGGTTGCCTTTGGTTAGTCTGTTGTTGAGCGAGCGATGGTAAAAAGAACCGGTCACATGAATTGGATGTACCGAAGCCAGAGGTTACATGTTATTGTGAGGAAGAATTCATCATGCAAACAGTTGGAGAATTTGCTGTGCTGTTTGTTGAACTATCATACTGTATTCTAAGCACTTCACTACCGTTTGAGGTGATACCAGCGTCCCTAAGTTCTTTGTTAAGTTGCCAATCCTCTCGGCTGTTGTTTCTTCACAAACGGCTGTAATCAAAAAAATAGTTCCACATAGTGTACGATAGAAGTCACCGATTTACTTCAATGAGACCTGCAGGATCAGAGCACTTTTCAGTACGTTCATTGTATGCTCACTCATCACAATCGCATGCAAAGTGGCGAACTCGAAAGTGTTCGGTTTCGATAATCGTTGGATGTTATTAGTATAAGCGAAGCCTCCAACCTTGTTTAGCATACGCGAGACTGGTTAAACTTTGTGAGACTAATATAAATTAAATTGTATTTCGCCGCCAATATCTCATTTGCACCTATGGTAACCGTTCGTAGATCAGCTTTCCCTACGGACTCATTACGCCGATCCCGTGGAGATCAGCGAGGAACTTTTTTGTCCGCAAATAACTATTAAAAATGCAAATAAGATAGTTATGTGTGAAATGCATCTCCGGAAAGAAATTGTAGGAATGAATTATTAGGACACACCTGGTAAACAACAACAACAACCGCAAAGCCGATCCTGTGCTTCTTGACGGGGGTGGAGGGTTAGGTGAACCTCATCGAATGATTCAGATACTACTAATCTTAAGAAATGGTTTCCATAAATGGTGGGCTACCTGTAGTCTACCGAGCGTGTCCCTTATTAACGCATGCATTGCTGAATAAGCGATCGCGGACCAGCAGCGGTGGTCTGAGGACAGGGCAACTTCTTACCTGGCGGGCGGTCTTCCCGCAACGAAAACCCACAAGTTTCCGCAGAAGGCATCGTGATATTTTCCGGACTGGCCTGTCACTCGTTACGACGTTCGCCCTCATTCTGTTACTCTAGTGGGTAGAACCTGACTGTGCAAAGACCAGAGGCTCATTTGAAGATTAAGGCTAAGTGGCATTTGGGATGCCACTTGGTACTGTATTTTCATGACTCCATCACGCTGATTTTCTTTTTCTTATTATTGCACAGTTTTGTGTGATGAATGGCAGACGAGGTAAACCCCATAGTCATGAGAACTCGCTGTTTAATCATGAAACCCGGCACCCCTCGCCTTCGGACTTGGAGTGGCGGACCACATAATGCCCCACTAGGTTAAGCTTGGTTTTGAGCCAGACGACAGCTAAGCGCCTACTTGTCCTCATGCTAGCTGAAGTCGCCTAAAAACAAAATGCAAGAAGTTGGTTGGAGTTAGTGTGTACTGCTTCTATTGACTGTCCAGGAGAATTTGAGACGTTTTTGTTTCATCACGATCTATACGGGTAGCTGCATTGCACTTTAGTGCCTTCGTTACGAACCTGATAGGGATTTGGATAAAATCCAAAGTGGAATACTAGTGCAGTTCAATTCAATTCAGTTTTTATAACTACTAGCCATGCGGTGGTTTTGGTTGCTGTCTTTAGGCTATCCAATTAGATAAAGGAACAGAAGAAATGCTTGAATGTTGAGAGCAAAATCAACGAGAACATACGAAATTCATATGGACTAAAGTTGCAATGACAGCGAGCAGACGCACGAACGCCAATGGAAAACTGGTGCATAGTGTATAGTCATCATCATTGTGCAGCATAATACAGTGAAGCGAGCTTCACTGATCGCTGCCAAACTCATATTGCACACAAGATAAGTGGTAATGTGTAAGGAGGACAGGGATTGGACCTATTTTCAGGGATGGGGAAAGAAAGCGAACCTCTATGGTCAACACAGAGTACACAGTTCAACTGTGCATACATACTATTTCAAGCATTCTGGTTTGATGAGAAGTGACAGCAAGATCGCCATTGCTGTCGTTTCGCAGCCATGGCCTTCAATGTCTCCAACCATGCGGTTTCGGAGTCTTTTAGAACCCAACCCGGAAGACGAGAGACACCTACTCTACCTAATCGTTCTGTGCATTTCTTTATGCCTCGTCCCCACGTCATCTGCTGACCTCCACGTG